TTTTATTGTATTTCCTTTAAAATCGATAATTCGGTTATCTTTGAAATACCAAAAATAATCAATAATTCCAAAATAATCGCCTAATCGAAAATAACCAATTAATTAAGAAGCCGATTCTCATATTTCCTTTGAAATTGATTATTAGATTATCGAAAATAATTGATTATTAAAAAGCTGATTATCTAATAAATCGATAATTTTAAAAAAATAACCAAAATATCGATTATGTAAAATAACCGATTATATTCAATCGATTATTTTCATATAATATCTTTGAAAAATCGAAAATAATCAAATAATTAAAAAACCGATTAAACGATAAATCGATAATTTTGAATAAATGTACTTTTTCTGTATTTCCTTTAAAATCGATTAATACATTATCTTAAAAAAAAACGAAAATAATTTATTAAAAACAGCGGATAAATCGATTTTCATTAAAAAATATCAGAATTATCGATAAATCGATTATTTTTGTAACCCCTATCGGTCGCTTGCTTTTATCTGAGCATTTAGTTTCAAAATTTAGAGATTCGGATTTTTTGATCCAGTTATCTTTGAAAGCGCATTCGCTTGTATAATAAATAAATATTGCTAAATTTTGGATTTTTTTTAAACGAAAATTATGTTCGAGTTGTTTAGGGGTTTGTAATGTAACATTTTATTAACGTGACTAAGGGTTAATTCCACCGTTGTGTTAAACGAAGTTTAAAATGACATTTTTACATTAACACTGTCATTTTAATCTCCGTTTAACACAACGGTGGAATCGGACCTAACTCCTGTAACTTTAGTATTTTTTTTTTGTTTATACTAGATTACTTTGTTTTAAATTCAATGTCACTTTCGATTTGACCGCAAATAAGATGAACCTTGAAATTTTAAGTAGGTCATCCTGTATTTCATCTAATATTCTTATAAAAATACCTTATAAAAATAAAATTTAGCTAGCAACTATGATTCTTTACCTCTTATTTATCTACCAAAAAGGGCTAAAAACTACCTTTAGAAAACATTCTTATAAAACTACTATTTAAATACAAAATTTCGTTAGCAATAATGCCTATTTACTATTTATTTAAATTAAATGTTCAAAATTTTACCCTTTTGTAAATTTATGTAAGTAATATGAAATCTGATGCTTAATATTTATTGAAACCCCTTAATGCGGATCTGAAGTATTCAGCCCAGAGAATCATGGCGCTTTATGTCAAAACGTTAAAAAATATTTACCGCTGAAAACGAATATATTCATAACAGTAGTACTTGTATTATAAGTACATTCAATTTTTCAAGATACATCGTGACATTTTGAACTTGAAATTGAATAACTAGAACACTTTAAATTGCTAAAATACCAACAAATAAATCAAAAAACAGCTGTCAATGGTGATTAAACTCAGGTGGAGGTGTGATCGCTGAATGGAAATCGGAGCAATTCGGGTGGCGTCGTGCAACAATGATTTTCAATTGGTGGGTTACTTTGGCTTAAAATAGACAGCATGCGCAGTGTGCAATGTTACATCTTCGGTCTCTTTAATCTAAGGTATCACCGTTGACAAACCTAAACATAAAATGAGTAGTGAGCAGTAGAACCAATGAAGTTCAAACCGAGCTCGCGAAAATTCTCATTGCATCAAAAGAAACACCAGAAATAATATCACTGGAAGAAACATGCTCATCTATAAAGATAGCAGACAAGCACTACTCACCTTAGACAGACAGGGCCGCCGAGAGCCAGGCCGGGTCCCAGGACAATTCTCTAGATCGGGCCCCGTGACAAAAAAATATTCTCTCTACTTAAATTTCTCTAAAAAAAAGCTCTTCAAACAAAAACTTTTCCTCCTCTACTTGAATCGAATTTTTTTTTAAAGGTCCCCACCCAAAAACCCCCCTCTTGTCTTGTGCCGAACTTCTGAAATTCTGAGAGAAAACAAAAATCCTCGTCACGGTTGCCGGGCCCCCATTTGAGTCCGGGCCCCGGGAATTAGTCCCGGCTGTCCCCCCTCTAGTCGGCCCTGTAGACAGACCAGTATTGGTCGAAGTTTCCATCAATAATGTGGTTAACTTAAGATGAATCCAGGGTCACGTCACATCGAAAGATAAGCGTCTTGATGATTCACCTGCCAAGAAGACAGCCAACCAAATATTTTTTTGACCTGGTCGTTCCATTAGACTACCAAGATCGGTAGTGACAAACCTAATTAAAGAACATTCCCTTGTGAAATTCAAAGAAAGATGGAATTATAAAAGAAACTGCAGACTTGCCAGGGAGTTTTCAAGTTATCCTGACGTCACTACAGCAAACAAATATTTGGCTACTAGTCGTCTGCCGTCCGTTGGTGCATGTAGTATGGGTTTCGTTTATCATATTTTAAATTTTGGTTTACGCGTCAATATGACCATGAACGAAAATATTATAAACTAATATTATAAGAATTTTGTTTGTTTTTTTTTAATTCATAACAGCAAGTAGTTTGTGTCTGAAAGAGCTCTTGGTCCGTCAAATAGTGACAGATTTAGGTGCCCCATTTTCGTATACATGCCTCGAAGAGGGTTGAAAAGTACATCGATATTGAGTAGAATAAATGAAATTTACAAATGTATCTTGGGGATAACACATGAAAAATACGATTTTCTTTAACAGAAATAGTCTCCGACCCCAAAAATGCATTTATCCATTCGGGTTGACCCTTTAACCACTTCCAAAACCTAGTTCTATTAGTTAATCATTTAGTGAACACGACCTGCGTGAAAATATTGGCAATAAATATATTCAGTTCCATTATACACGCTTCAGCGTTATTGGTCAACTCTAAGACATTTAATTTGTAAATGCCGTTCCACCCACAGAGGAACACGAGTATTATTATAGGATTCAATCATAATCAAGATATTATTAATTTCAGATTGTTTTTATTTTTCTGTTATTTTTTGGAACTTGACTTTGGTATTTTTTTGGAATATGATCTGTCAATTGTATTAAAAGAATAAACGTCTTTTTAATTCAGCAAACTTTGAATAACAATAAAATCTAAACAAAATGATTTATTTTTTTTTATTTTTAGGAAAATCGAATTTTCCATGTTATCCCCAGAAGCAACTCGTAAATTTCCTTTTATTCTACTCAAAATCGATGAACTTTTTAAACCTCTTCAAGGCTTTTGTGCGAAAATAAAACAGCTAATCCTGTCACTATCTGACGGTCTATATTTTTATATTTAAACGACTTTTATATTATTACTTTCTTTATTTTACGGATTAACATGGATTCTTTTTAACATACATCATACAACCTTCTATCAACATCAACCTTCTCGAAAGGAGCCCAAAGAAGTAGAGAGGGTAGAACGATAAGGTACCGTCTGCGCATCCATCACGAGTGTAGAAATTATGCGTGATTCAGCCTTCCACTCTTACACACGTAAATGACAAGGAGAGGTTGCCCTAAAGCACTGTAAACAAATTCCAGGATCGACTTTATTCAGCGATTATGTTCATGTTCAGCTCTGTTTTTTGTTTGTGTTTTGGCTGTTGTTAGCTTTTTTGGCGTCGATTCTTTGTTATATTGCTTATATTTGTGATTTTTATGCTTTTATTCCGATTTAGTATTAAATTATACTTGTTAATTATTTTTCGATGCACTATTTTATAATTGCTGCACAAAATGTTGTTAAACCGTCCCTGAATCTTGTTTACAAAATGTGCAAAACGAAATTGTGCATAGTGTCCAGACTTTTTCATTGACAGTTATCATTCTACCCCTCTCCACTTCATTGAAGGAGCCTCTTGTCTTCTACTAGACATGACATGTGTCATTTTGAGAACATTAGTTTTATGACAACGGACATGATGGTCTCTTTCCAATTAGGCAACTAAAACTAATCTTAACATAAATATATATAAAAGGTATTTAGCGTTTGATGAGCAAATCTAACATATATAACTAGATAGAATCTGCGCCTGATCACCATTCTGACTGGTCATTGCTAAGTACGAAAGCATTTCTATATCATGGGACTGTCAGAATCCGTACTATGCAGGGGTGCGAATAAGATGAGATTATTGAGAATATCCTCTATGATTTCTCGACGCTCTCATTTATTAGAAGATTTGTGGTCGGCAAGTATCGGCTAACACCGGCCGGTATAAGAGAAGCACCTCTTGGCAACGTTGTCAACTACATTAAATCTGTAGGTTGGCATACGATTTAGGAGGTGCCTAGGTAAGCCTAGTGAAGTGTGAGTGCCTTGAGTTAACTCATCCTACACACGTTAAATATTCAAATATAGTGTCAGGTAGTTATTTAAAACCATCGTATTCGTCAGGTTTTTTAGCGAATATTTTCAATATTAATTAATAAATTTGCTACAAAATTTTTATAGCTCTTTCTGTATTAGATAAATATTAGGTCGTTTAGAATTGCTGACTATTTGAAAATAGAGAAATAAAAATAGTACCATATACAAATTGATCCAATGTGTTATTATTCCTGCAATAAAATTATTTTTAATGCCAATATATCTTTGCATAACTAATTATATGAAAAAGTTATATTATATCATCCTATATCATCTTTTTTATTAATTCAGTGGGCTAATTAATTTAATTTTATTTATTAAAATAAAATTGTAAACCGCATTCCAGCATATACTCTAATTTCTTGAATCGCAGCATGTCTCTCTCTCTCCGACTCAATAGAATTTAAAAAAAATTCTAACGAATTTCACGTGTTCATGTAATGGACACCTTGTACACGCCCTCTACACACAAGACCCGTCAAGTTACCGCGCATCGCCTGCCATGGCACATCGTTGCTCTCGCCACACTCCTATTTTAAACTTCGAACAGTTAATATGCCTCGAGGTTATCACCTATATAATTCTCGTTAAAAACACTATTTTTTAAACCTTCAACCAATTCACTTCGTTTTACAAACATAACTACAAGCATGTATCAAATCACTTGAAAAGTATTTTAATAATTGTAGGGTAACTTACCTAAATGGTCCGTCTCCAAATATCTTGAATGTCTGCCCGATAAGTCCGTTAACTTGGTACGTACCATTGACTTTAATGAATGGAAATGTTAAATTTAAGTCTAATCTAAATCTCAATTTTCCTAAGTCAGTCAGACTTTCTTTGTCGACTACGAATTTGGATATATGTTTGATTGTAACGTCTTCTGCTTTTCCTTTTATACTGAAACAAAAAGCTTAATCGCTTAATCCACCTCCCAACTAATAAAATTTGTTTTATAATTGTTCTTAGAACAACTATAAAATATATTTTATAAGAATCCTTATCAAGGTTCTTAAAAAAATTATATGACAGCTATATAACGTAATAGGACCAGGTGTGAGCACATTTCAGTTACTTGTAAATGAACCTAAACTGCAATTCAATCAAGTTTTTTTTATTATCTATAAGTGGTAAAAAATTTATTGACATCGGCCATAGGCCCAAAAAACGATACCCTCTTTTTTCCTTGTATGTTAGGCCTTTTTGTAAAATCAAAACTTTTTTAATAACGAAACACTGGCACTGGGTAGGTAGTGAAAAAGTAAACCCATACACCGACAGAAGAGGACAAGAAAAAAGAAGACATTTATGCTGACATTGTAACCTTAGACAGATTGCCGAAACAACAAATTTGCAGTTTCTTTTGAAATAAAATCCTGCTTCTATTATTTGCTTTGTAAAGGACCACGCACTTTTCTTATGCAAACGGAAGTACCGTCAAAATGACTGAATTTTTGATATGTTAAATAACTCCAAAAATATATCACCGTCAAAGTCTCTCATTATTTGATATCGTATAGTGCTTGATGTACTCGTTCAAAATTCTTATTGGTAAAATTAGATCCTATGACTAGTTTTCCAAATATAACTTAATATGTACCAAATATATGAATTTTAAACAATAAATATATACTGACAAAATAGATATTTTCAAGAGAAATATCTTATATTAAATATTTTGATATACTGTTTTAGATTAAGAATATACCCCTTGTACTATTTTCAAAGAGACAAAAAAATCGTACTTACAGGGTGATTGGGTTGAATATGTAAAAGGAAAAAATTAACAAAATGCTGAAATTGTTGACAAAAAATAGAAAATAATTGCCTTTTAACTTGCGAGTTGTTTATTAAAAAAATCTTATTAGTTTACATACAGGGTCATACATTATTGCATTACAAAAAAAGTTCATTATACGGTAGGTATAAGTAGGATCTAGGGAAATGAATAATGATCGGATTAAATGTTTATTTTGACTAGAGCATTGCCTCTTTATATTGTATATTTATATCAGATTGGGATCTCCTTTCCGCGTAAAGTGTTAGCTCCTATAGGAGTAGTGCACTGCTTGTATAATAGGGCAGGTCAAAAATTACCAAAAAAACATTTATTAGTGTGAAAAAATTGTGTTTTATGTGGTTTACACCCTATATAAAAAATTAGTGAAAAAATGAAATATTTAGCTGGGACCTTAGGGGTGAGAAATTAAAAAACTAAAAAAAATTCAGCTTTATGCAGCTCTTAGCTTGATTTAAAACTCAAGGGGTTTAGGGCAGCTACAAGATAATAAAACCGGTTTTGAATGTTAAATCAACCCAGAACTCACCACGAGGAGGTGGCCGCACTTCGAGTTCCACCCACCCACCCACCCACCCATTTCTCCATTTATCTCAATATATCTTACTTATTTATATAAAGAGATTATTACATTTTGGGCAAGTCTTTTTTGGCACGTATGTACGTAGAATTTTCACAACACCCAATTCTCTTTTCTCTTTTTTGGCATTGTTATTAATGTTCTCATAACTTGGAAAAATATAACAATAATAGCAATTACAAAGGACAACTGAATTTATTACAAACACTTAAGATATAAATTCAGATACTTTGTAAGGTATATAAGAAAACAAAAGTCAATTATTAAATTAAAAGAACAGCCTGAACTAAAGATAAACGACCAAATGACTGACGTAACTGAACCAAGACGTTAACGTTAAGTATTAGGTGCAAATACGAGATGGTAAAACCAATTAATTTTCTTCTACTATGGGACCGAGATCGATATTTTCTGGAAATAATCGGTCTGCTGCATCATCGATGCTATTTAGTAAACGTGTTGTTGGAAATCTTATATTATTCTGGTGTCTTGCATAACCAAGAAACCATAACACTGATGCAACATGTGCGCAACTACTTAATGTTCTCGAACCGCATGGACATGTACAATAATAGTTTCTCTTCGTATGCCAACCACAGCATATATTTAGTTGCGTTTCTGAACCTAGAATAAATTATAAAACGTAAAAAATTATTCTCTTCTCTAAACTAGTCTATTTCTAAAACATTATTTTCCTCTCTTTGCAGTTTATTTTGAATATATGATGGACTTAAATAAATATGGTAAGAACCTACCAAGTCTTTGAGGAAATTGATCTCGCGAGGAAATTCAGGAATATGCATGTGGTTCAATCTTCGCAACCGACCATTTCTGGTAGTCAGATTTTGGGCTTCGACGCGTGCTTGTATAATATTAACGTCATCTAGTTTGTTTAAAATTTCAACTGCTATGTCCATTGTACCTGGTAGGTTTATAAGAGGATGAAACTTATTTAACAACGCACCTGCAATCTGATAAAAACCACTCAAATTAACTGCATGATGCGTGGAATATGCGGCCTTTAAAAAATTTAAAAATGGATTTAAAATGTCCATTTCTGGCTTCTACAACCCAACGAGTTTTAGTTATTAGTCTCGCTCTATTAGCTTCACTTGTTAATAATTGCCGTTGGTTTTGATGAAGCAAAAATGGCATATAATTCATTAATCCAGTTTCTAAATTCATTATTATCATTAACCAATTGTTGCCGTAAGATTGCTGCATCATTATTAGATGCATCAGAAAAATAGGGACCATTGATTGATAAAATATATCCGTCAGGAACTACTGTAATTTTTGGCTTAACTTCCTTCTTAAAATAGCAATAGGACTGACGTAATATTCTAAAATTACTACTTTTTTCAATTGAGTTATATGTACAATCGACATAAAATATGGCCTTTGGAATATTTGCTATAGGGTTGTAAAGCGCGGTTACGAATTCAGGGACATGATTTATGATATAGTTTTCTCTGGTTATTGATCTAAATCCAATATTACTAGGTACAAATCTTTGAAGCAGGGACATACGTACATAAATATTTGAGACTAAAAAAATATTTGCTCTGCATACTGCCGATAGTTTTCTTACATTTACTTGTGCGTTACAAATTATACAACCACGAACTGAGAGGGGTGTTAAAACATTAAGTCTTAGGCAATTTGGATCATTTTCAATATTTCTAAGTTCCTGTGTAATTGCTTGATAACAGTTTAAACATAATCTTACTTCTTGTAGATTATCGACTGCAGGATGTCAGGCAGCTTGTCTTCTAAAATTAGCAATGTTAAGCACATCTATATTATTGTCCTCGTCTAAACGAATAGTGAGTCGAAGTTGAAAGTGTCTATTGCAAACATAACAGCTAATCCTATTTGCAAACGCCATATTTGCAACAATATTTATTTAAAACACTAATACAGAACGGTCTAATGCTCGCTTAAAGTAATACAAACGTCATTTATGATAAAAGTCAACAATATGTTCAATTATTCGGAAAATATTTAATCCCTTCTAGATCAATATATATAAATCAAGTGTAAGCAGGTTTATATATCCTATAAGGTTGTTGGCATATTCACCACTATTTAGAATTTACTAATAAAATCTATCAATCGTCTAAAACTCGTAGGTTACAAAATATACAGGTTAATCAATTTTTGTGAAAATCTTCAGAAAAATTATGTATTATCATAGTAGATATAAAAAAGCAAAATTTCAGGTATGCAGACAGTCTTTAGCTTTATATTTTATCATTACGAGTATACAGGGTGATTCTTAACACGGTATCAGACCCAAGTCGATTTAAAATGCCTTGGTTGTGTCGATTACAACAAGCTTAACGTCTGAAGTGAAAAATTATGGAGTTACAGGATGTTAAAGATTATCTATATTTCCAAGTTTAAATTATTAAATACTTAACAAAACAACTTGCATGCCTTTGCATATTGAAAATATAAAAACAGGCAGGTTATTCGAAAATTACGAATATTTTATTACCCTATATTCATAACATATTGTTTTGAGAAGCCCTATAAAAATCAAGAGAGGAACAGGTAAGCTGTAAACTATAAAAATATAAACAAATGTTTCGTGAAACGGGGTTAAGTGAATCAAAAAAACACGTTTTTTTATCTTTTCTCCAAAGATAAGGAAACTAAAAATATACAAAAAATATTGAAGGTTGTGACACTCATTACGAGTGGTTCTAATGATAAATCATGTTTTTTTGAAAAAACAGAAATATATAAATTTTTTTGTTAAAGAGTGACTCACTTTACCCTCTACTTTGGGGTAAAGTGAATCATGCATCTAAATTGTATTAAAACTCATTTTAAAATGTCTATGGGTAAAATGAATCAATTTAGAGTAAAAAAAACGTCATAAGTTAAAGCTCCTCTAACGCGCTTCATATTTTCTGCCAATTTAGAAGTAAGGTCTCTATGTCTGCTCATAAAGATTTTAAACCAGTCGACTCCTGGCATATTCTCTTTAAATCTTTTTTCTGTCATTCCAATTTCGTTTAAATATTGTTGCACAATTGTCCTAACGTCCGTACATTTTAACGGAAATCCCCACTCGGCACAAATTACTAGGGTTTTCTTTAGTCTAGTTTCCTGAGCTTCAGTTAGTGCAGTCTGCCGACCATATTTTAAGGGTTTTTTCCATGATACCTTCTTTGAATTGTGCTAAAAGGAACGCCAAACTGTTCTGAAGCTTCTCTTATAGACATTACGCGTCGAACCTCTGCCAATGCCAGGACAACAACACCGGATCATAATTACATTTTCCTCGTGGTCCCAACTTTTTTTTATACACCCTTGGCATGCTGAAACTAAAAAAATATATTAATAAAAATACAAAAACAGCACAATTTTATTATATGACAGAATAAAAATAAACAATTTATACAATGCAACCCAAATATTACAAAAATATGAGTGATTCACTTTACCCCTTTTACTGGCTTTTTTTTATTAAAAAAAAAGTGACAACTTTACTACAAATATTACGACATGAAATATATTAATATTATATTGCTAACTACCTAATAAATACATTTATTTTATTTAAACAAATTAAATTTCAAAACAATGAGTTCTACACTGTGTCGTTTTTAATATTTCATAAATAAACAAAAAATCGTTGATCCCATAAACTTTTCGTGTAACTTACCAGTCTACTTAAACGCAACAAAACACTCGGTACTACGTCCAAAGGTACACTGAAGCGACACTCTGATGGGAACATGGAATAAACTTAAAGCTTTCGATGACAACATTGCCGATTTTCCAAAAAGTGTCCAGTGATTCATTTTACCCACTATGATTCACTTAACCCCGTTTGACGGTAATATGTCTGCTCGACTTATGTTAAATATTTGAAACCAATAACATGAAAATACTATTTCTTATATGATTGAGTACCAATAAGTAGATATGACATTTATACTTCATTGTGTGCATAACTAATACTCACTGGATTTCCTAGAAGAAAACTTCTTCGCAATGAAACAATAGTTAAGAAATGGATAATTTTCCAGATTTTTCTGCTCATTGACTACTTCATTCTGAGGCTCCACTAAATGTTTTTAATTTCTAGTTATTCCAAAAACTATGTCAGTTTGACAAAGTTTGGTATTGGCTATTTAAAATATTAATGTATGTATATTTATAATCTTTTTCAATAAAGAACTCACAAGCAATTTATTTTCTAATATTTGGCAATAATTTTATATATTGTTGATTTTTCCACCTTGCAAGTTCAACTGTAACAATCCTTCAAGGGATGCGACTTGAAACAAAATGTATTGGGGGCTTTATCTCATTGGTGGCGTGAATGGAGCTCATAATCTTATTTAAATATACAATACAAAGAGGCACTTATGACAATACTCGAGCCAAATAAACCTGTAATCCGATCATAAATCATTTCTGCACATCCTACTGAGACCTACCATATAATCAACTGTTTGTACCGAAATAAAGTATGACCCTGTATATAGACTTATACTATTTTTTTTTGATGAACAACAATTATTTTCTATTTTTTGGCAACAATTTCAACATTTTGTTGATTTAATTTACATATTCAACCGCGATCACCCTGTAAGTACGAATTTTTTTCCCTTTGCAAATAGTACAAGGGGTATATTCTTAATCTAAAACAGTATGTCAAAATATTTAATAAGATATTTCTCTTGAAAATATCTACTTATGTCAGTATACATATATTTATTGTTTAAAATTCATATATTTGGTACATATTAAGTTATATTTGGAAAACTAGTCATAGGATCTAATTTTACTAATAAGAATTTTGAACGAGTACATCGAGTACTATACGATATCAAATATTGAGAGACTTTGACGGTGATATATTTTTTTTCGGTATTTTAGCTATTTTTGTTCGGTGGGAATACCTACTTTGACCAAAAAAGATTTTCAGAATCATTAATCACCTTGTAAGGTACAATATTTTAATTATAGTAGTTAAGTATGTATTTTGACTACACAGAATGAGCAAAAAACTTCCAAAAATATTTAAGGGTGATTTATGGTGTCCATTTTAAAGAACTAGGGATTTCTAACTTCAACACTCTGTATCTCAAAATCTAGTCATATGATACGATTGGGCCCATGGACACTTTTGATGGGGACATCAAGTTATTTAACATATCAAAAATTCAGACATTTTGACGGTACTCCCGTTTGCATATGAAACGTGCGTGGTCCTTTATAGATGGCGCAAAGCTCTTGCAATAACCTTGCAACGGCAATATGTCTTCTAATAGAAGATACAATTTTATTCAATTTTTGCATAAATAAATATTAAAGTTGTTGCTGTAAAACATAACTTACATTGCTGCATCGTGCCGAACATCGAATTCAAGTTTGTTAATATGTAGAGGATCCAAAACAGGAATACTCAATTCTGGAACACCCTTTATTAGTTGATTCCTGATCAGTTCCACTAGAGCGCTCAGTCGATCTTCTATTCTTGAGAATGTGTCAATTATTTTTTCTACTGTTTGTCCGAACACGTTGAGTCCAGTTTTAATTAAATCTGAAAAATATTGTTTTTGTTGTATTTTTTTTTAATATTTGTAAATACAGAGAAAAATATAAAAAATTTATCATAAAAAGCAATAGTTTAAAAATAGTCACGAAAATACAGGCAATCGTTTGAAGCTGCTGTCCTCGAAATTACAAAGTTTTAGTTTTAAAAGCGGGATGCGAATTATTGTAAATACAATAAATTTATCACACTGATTATTGCAGCTCAATTTAAATTATATTTAGTAATTCTTGAAAAATTTAAATATTCCATAACCTGTAACATGTATTGTTGTATATTCTATACAAATATTGAATCTATTGGATATGTAATATTTTATCCTTTTTAATTTTGCCATGAGGAATTATCACCTATTTATTGAAACTTTGTAATAAAGGAATAAAAAAGGTTAAAACGTGCTTAGAGCTAGGATGCGGTAAAGGGTTATAGGAATGACTCACATTTTTTTGTTTACCGAATTTTTATACGTCTTCTATATTATGTAACTGTTGACTATCCGGATCGAAGGACCAATATTGATTATAAAGCATTGAGTGTGGACTGTAATTATTTTGAATTCTTTATTGTAAGAATAACTATAACGTGATTGAAAAGCGTATCTCAAAATTATATTAATTATTTTTGTGTGAAAACTCCTGAAGTCGAGCGTTCTTAAACGGCATAGGCGTAGACAAGCGGAAAAGTATCACGTTTTGCTCTTAATACACAAATAGCTATTATAGTAATAGTTTTAAGTTATCATTCATAAAAAAAATAGTATCACATAAGCGCCCCCAGTTATTAATTATTACCAAAATATCACACACATGAGCTATTATTACGTGAATTACGTACATATACAGTCATTATTTGCTAAAGCTTCTAAGAACATTAAACAAGGTTCAGAAATTTAATTAATTAAAAAAACAAGTTAAAAATAATTACTACCAGTTTTTTAAGTAAAAACAATTGTTTAATTTTTATTCACACTATCCATTAACGAATTGGTGAATATTATATTGTCATTAGTAGACAGGAACTGTTGTGAAAATGTGGTTGATTAATTTAGAAACAGGCACGTATTACGAATTTTCTAGAAGACAAAAAAAAAAGGAATTCATTTTTAATTTCTTAATAGGGTCGCCGCAATGGCGTGGGTCGCCTAAACAGAGGTTTGTATGCAATTTGAATTTATTTACAATATCCAACGACATGGGCGTAGCCAGGGAGGGGCAGGGGGGGGGGCAGCTGCCGCCCCCTGCTCATTCGCCGCAAGCTTTAAAATATTTTAAAATCCCTTCTCATATGTCATTTCCAATAGTTGTATTTATTTATATTTCAATAAATTTTCTTACTTACTTAATCTTTATTTTACAAATATATTTACAAATTACATCTACATTACATATAAGTTTTCAAAAGGTTCTTCCTCCTGAAAGTCACCTGGAAGTAAACCAGGGACAATGGCTGACGTTATGCCTCTTTATGCTCAACGATGTTTGTCATTTGGAAGTTAAGTTGACTCCTTACCTATGAAGGCATTATTCAGCTGTTTTGACTGTTATACTAAAAATCTGATGTGTCCAACACATGAATTTCCTATCTAGTTATTATAGGCTTTTCCCGGTTATTTTGTACAACCTATTGCAGCACCTCTATAAATGTTTAGAGGATAAACTAAATATATACTTTTTCCACATACATCTAACTCAACACATTTTTCTATAATATATATTCCATAAAATATAAAAACGGCCTCCCATAAAGTACCCGCCCCCCAGATGTTCCGCCTTCGTCCAAAATCTAATCATTTCACCTCTGGCCGAAATAAAACTTAAGTTTAAAATTTAATGTTTTTTCCTTTATCCGTTTTTGAGTTTTCTTCAAAATTCGAAATTTACACATTTTCTCAAATATCTCGAATACAGTCCATTTTAGAGAAATTATGTATGGAGTAAAAATTATAGAGAATTATATTGCAAACATTTTATTTGAACAATTTTTATAAAAAATTATTTTTTTTACATTTTGTCAAATTTCTCAAATACGGACCATTTTAGGAAAATTTTATATAGAACAAAAATTATAGATAATAATATTGTAAGTAACTTTTATTTGAAAAGTTTTCTTCTTCAAACGTAAATAACGAATATATTCTATAAAATATAAAAATGACCACCAGTAAAGTAGCCCCAAAAATGTTCCGACTCTGTTCAAAATCTAATCAGTTTACCGCAAGAGAGAATAAAGCTTAAGTATAAAATTTGGTGTTTTTCTTTGTATCGGTTCATGAGTTATGATGGATAGAGACATACACACACACACACACGCACGCACGCACGCACGCACGCACCCACACACACACACACACACACGCGCGCGCGCGCGCGCGCGCGCGTACGCACGCACGCATCCCGAAAATAGTCAAAACGGATTCAGTGGACCCAAAACGTAAAAATCCGTCGAAAACTAGAGGTCGAAAAAGTCATGATTCCTATACTTTCCTTATATCTGTATACAGATAGGAAAGTAAAAATATATCATTCTCCATCAGAAAGTCCTGAATCACTGATTTGTTAGAATTGGTATTTGGTTTTGTTAGTACCAACCGAGAATGGTACGGGGCATTATCTGAAACTATTATGCTATTTTAATTTAATTTTGGTAGTAATGTACTCTCAAATCATTTTTCAAAAAGAGTACTTTCTATGTTCTGGTAGTAGTCCAAACTACTATCCCGTACATCTTTTGCAGACAGCAAGAGAGCTCCTGTTACTCAACCTGATTCTCCACCACATTACATTTTAAACTTCCATCAATCCAACATTTTTTTATGATGTCATGACTTCGAACCAGATTTCATCTAAAAAATGAATGTTTCTATTCTCTTGTCGATACTTTGTAATTAAATCGAGATATTCTATTCCCCATTTAACTAAACGGTTGGATTCCATAATTGTTTGTCTTTTATTAATGGTTTTAAATTTAAAGCCGTTGGATTTTAAAAATCTCCATAATGTCGTTTTATGGCAGTCTTTTATTAACGTTTTTTGTTTTAGACGTAAAAATAACGTGTTCAAAGTAGGAAAATGATTTACAGAGATCATTTCATAAATTGTTTTCCTAATCGGTTCTAAAAGAAACTGTGGAATGGAACGAGATGAACCAGAATCTTGTCGCACCTTTCTAGGTGGTGCCCCTTGCTGTACAATTTTGTATACAGTTGACTGTGGTACTTTTGTCAAAAGAACAGTCTCTTTTAGGGCTTCGGAGGAAGACAATTCATTTTTTAGACCTGTAAATAAGTGTTAAAATCCAATATATTTAGAAAATTGGAATTTTTTATAGATTTTGACGTGTTGTTTTCGATTTTTCACCTTGCGGCCTCGTATCTTTGTCAGTCGCGCCCAAAAACACTTTTTTGAAAATATTACCTATTAAACTAGAGAAAATTTCCTACAATTTATGGGGTTACCTCTTTTTTGTAAAATGAATAGTTTTAACGCAAGAGCGAGCGCCCCAAAGTTTACTACTGAGTAAATCTCATCCAAATTGTTCAGTTGTTTATGATTAAAAACTGTAATCAAAAGTGTTAGTGTTAGTATTAGTGTTAGTGTTAGTGTTAGTGTTAGTGTTACTGTTAGTGTTACTGTTAGTGTTAGTGTTAGTGTTAGTGTTAGTGTTAGTGTTAGTGTTAGTGTTAGTGTTAGTGTTAGTGTTAGTGTTAGTGTTAGTGTTAGTGTTAGTGTTAGTGTTAGTGTTAGTGTTAGTGTTAGTGTTAGTGTTAGTGTTAGTGTTAGTGTTAGTGTTAGTGTTAGTGTTAGTGTTAGTGTTAGTGTTAGTGTTAGTGTTAGTGTTAGTGTTAGTGTTAGTGTTAGTGTTAGTGTTAGTGTTAGTGTTAGTGTTAGTGTTAGTGTTAGTGTTAGTGTTAGTGTTAGTGTTAGTGTTAGTGTTAGTGTTAGTGTTAGTGTTAGTGTTAGTGTTAGTGTTAGTGTTAGTGTTAGTGTTAGTGTTAGTGTTAGTGTTAGTGTTAGTGTTAGTGTTAGTGTTAGTGTTAGTGTTAGTGTTAGTGTTAGTGTTAGTGTTAGTGTTAGTGTTAGTGTTAGTGTTAGTGTTAGTGTCAGTGTTAGTGTTAGTGTGTGTGTGTGTTTCTGTATGTCTGTATCCACCATAACTCAGGAACCGGTACAAAGAAAAACACCAAATTTTAAACTTAAGCTTTATTCCGGCCTGGGGTGAATTATTTACATTTTGGTCGGAGTCGGAACATTTGGGGTGGTACTTTAATAGAGGTCATTTTTATATTTTATAAAATATATCTGTTATTTATGTTTGGAGAAGAAAATTCATCAAATAAAAGTTACTAAAAATATTATTATCTATAATTTTTGTTTTATACAAAATTTTCCTAAAATGGTCCGTATTCGAGAAATTTGACAAAATGTAAAAAAAATAATTTTTTATAAAAATTGTTTAAATAAAAGTTGTTTGCAATATAATTCTCTATAATTTTTGTCATATACATAATATTTATTAAATAGACCGTATTCGAGATATTTGAAAAAATGTGTAAATTTCGAATTTTGAAGAAAACTCAAAAACGGATAAAGGAAAAAACATTGACTTGTGAGAAATAAAGGGCCTTTTCTTTAACCCCTTACACTTAATCCCTACTACTCACATATGGCTACCCTCACTCCAAAAAAAAGAAAAAAACATTAAATGTTAAACTTAAGTTTTATTTCGGCTTGAGATAAAATGATTAGATTTTGGATAAAGTCGGAATATCTGGGGGGAGGGTACTTTATGGGAGGCCGTTTTTATGTTTCATGGAATATATGTTATTTACGTTTGGAAAAGAAACTTTTTCAAATAAAAATTACTTATATTATTAATATCTATAGAAAAATGTTTCGAGTTAGATGTATGTGAAAAATGTATATATTTAGTTTATCTTCTAAACATTTATAGAGGTGCTGCAATAGGTTGTACAAAATAACCGGAAAAAG